TTGCGCCGAGCTGACCAAAGTGTCGGTTGCCGCAATTATTTGGTGCAGATGTGGAGGGTGGCTTTCTTTAGAACGCTCTCAGTTGGCGAACCCATACAAACGGCTTTCAGACACCTTCCGATTGTCCGTGGTGTGGCTGCAGCAGCACCTGCCTCTTCCCCGGGCCATGTCAGGGGACAAGAACTACATTACTAAAAGCATGCCGCCGACGGACCTTCTGAGCTCCCCCCCCCCCCCCGCTTATGGTCTCGGGGACGGCGCGCGCCATGTCAGCCGGCCGCTAGCATGACATAACTGAACGCAGCCGTCAGATTGATACAACGCCACGCAGACTGAACCCCCGATAGAGGGGAGTGACAGGCTTTCGTCAAAGACGCCCTAGTGCTTCTGCCAAAATTTGCATGCACCTTGACGAAGTATGCGAGCGTGAGATGCTTTGAAACGTTACGCACGTGAATAGGCACACACGTGGCGTGAAGGCACGTACGCCTGATTATCATGAGCCACCGGGTGCGAAATGAATAGCAGGTGCTGTACTCCCACCTCATGTCACACGTACTGACTTCTTCTCGATAAGGTATTTGGCGGGTGCGGACTTGGTGGTGTGAGTTGACAGTTGGCATTGCGTCACCCATTGGTGCCGCCGTGCTCTTCAGTGCCTTTTCTCTTCAGTCGGTTGTCCACAACCATCCGTGCTGAGACCCATGGCCTGTCTCCCGGCAAGGCCTAGGCTAGAGGGAAGTCGTCACCCTCTCAATTTTTTTGAACTTATGCAGAAGTACGTATTTGTGACACGTCAATTATGACATTGGTTTGGACAAAAAGCGAACATTTGCTGAGGAAGGAGCAATTCAAAGTCAGTCAAAAGACACCCTTCACGGGTGCAACAAAAAAATCCACGCAAGTTTGAAAGCAAAATATGGCGGCCAATTTATGGCACAGTACTGACGGATACATGACATGCAATGCGCAAAATTATCAAGCATAAAGGCGAACTGCCTGAGGACCCGATACTTACTAAGCTAACAGCTGTGAAGTCCCGATAGCCAACAACAATTCTGTTTTGGTGGTTCAGGTTTTCGCCCAAGCTGCAGTAATTTAGGCAGAAGTGGCGTACACTTGCAGCGTCATGCATACTTGCAGTTTACATAGAGATTGTGTGGTTGTAGACAGCTATGAAGCAAAGGGTATTTGAAGTATTCTTGGTTTATTTACTCTTAACCTTCTTCTGCCCCTGTGGTGTGAAACACGGGCTATATGTGCTAAAGCTATAGCCATATAGCTACACGGGCTATAGCTTAATGTGCCGTAGTTGTCTTGTAATTAATATTTGCATATGATCCATCCGATAATCCAGTTTGTTATGTACTGAGAGCGCCCCACCTTTGGGCCATATTTCAAAAAACTCTTCAGTGAAACTCCAGAACTAGTTATTTAGAGTCCAAGTTATGGCAACCACCGGGCGCCCGCACCTACTGGTGCAACAAAAATACATGTGTGATTAGTCCAGCGGGCAAGAGCCTGTTAGCCAGAAGTGCACGGGTTTAACTTTGAACCAGCGCTTCATAATGGGTCATGTGATACTCCAATTACCAAAGCCAAGGTGTACCTCGGAAATAGACACTGGTAAATGTCATAGTGGAGAAACCAAAGCCATAGCCACATGAAAACATTTCTTTTGAATTCGCGAGATGATAGCCTCATGTCCGCATGTCTTTTTGTCCAAACATCGTGTGTTGCGCTTCCATAACATTTACTTCACAATCATTTCGACACATTAGTGTGTTGCAAACATTGCAGAATACACACGTTGGAAAAACAAGACAAATGCAATGTGTTAATTTTATAATGATGGGCAGGGAGTGAAAGGAGATTTCTCCGCAGGGTCGGCTACTTCGAATAACAATTCTGAGCTAATCAGAAGGATTTTGAGAAAGCTGGCAGTACTCGTCAAATGTGTGGAGTGTGATGTCACAATAAGTTCAATGTACAAAAAGGTGAGATAATCTTTTTAACTACAGTGGTTTTTGGCCAGACGAATGCGTGCATATACATTACAATATATATATATATATATATATATATATATATATATATATATATATATATATATATGTCTATGTTTGAGCCGTGTAGTGAAGCTATGTCTATTGTCACACTTAAGGGCGACAAGTAGTCATTATTGAACGCTGTAGCGACCCATGTCTCTTGTATGTATACCACTAGCCTCTTTATCATGACGTTTTTTGGGGGACGAGGCGTATAATATATCTGCTTATGGGAAATGCACTGTTTCCATCAGTAATGCATGCGTACAATGAAGAACGTATTGTGGGATTGTAGGAATGAGAGCGTAGGGCGATAACTTGCCGAATTGTGTGCGCTTTAGCAACACGTCGCAGGTTGATATCCTATGAGAATGACGGTCATGGCACATCTTTTGGGAATCAAACATAGTGTTGTTGGTGTTGTGTGGAGCCTGTTCATCATGCATATGCACATGCAATGGCCCTGACCCCCACCCCACCCCACTGTTCCACCCCCTCCCCCCGCCCACCCTCACCCCCCTTAAGTAGGCCTTGGTTGCTCTTATACTATCGGCGACGCCCGCGGCCACCGCCGCTGACTAAGGCTTCTGACGCTGTGTTCGTCAGGCTGATCTGAAGCGAGTGGGATAGCAACTCCGGGTCCCTGGGCTGAGCCGCAGCATTTCGTTAAGCTGCTGCAGCGTAAGCAGCAAACCCGAAACTGAAAATGAAATGAAAAGGCCAGCCGGTCGCACAGCGACAGGGCCTACCAGTGAAACCATAGGGCCATGGCGAGATGCTCGACGTGGGTGGCGAGATCGCGCCGCTCATGCTTGTGGGGCCATAAGCGAAGACGGAAGTCTACAGCCGGGATCTGAATATTCACGCGCCACGTAACACGCCCAGGTCCAGTAGTCAGATAATCGCTGTTTCGCAATACTCCGCGGAAACCAAGCATGCACGGGAACTAACCGCAGCGTTTCCAAGCAGAACGCTGGACACCCACCCGGCGACCTTTAGGCGTCTGGAGGTTATACAGCGTCGCCCAAGGTGCGCAGTTGGTGCGGCTCGACGCTCTACGTCCGGAACCAATATCCATGAACCGCCTGACATGCAGACCTGCTAATAAACCTACAGATCAAATGAACGGCAGGCCCATTGGTGAGACCGACGCCACTCGAGCCCTCGCCCTCGAGTGCAGACGCACTAGAGACCGTCAGAAACGTTACAGTCGTCCGAACAGCTCTTGGATAGCCTCGTGCCAGGCGCCGGGCTGATGTTCCGCTTGCGGCCGCGCTCCGCACGCTGACAAACAGGCTTTCCGTGCAAGAGCTGCCTTGTGTCACCGGTGCTATGGACGCCGCCATTTACAGCAGTGTCGCCTAAGTAGCGCCGCATCTAGAGGACGGGGACGCCGCCGTTTCAGACGCCGCTGCCGATCGCCGCCAAAGATACATTACCTGGCCGAGTGCCGTCAGCGGCCACGCCGGCAGAGGCCGCGCCACGAGAGGGGGCCGCGCCGCCTGTGTGAGCCCCTTCCCGGCGTGCGCCGTCACGCGACGCTTGCACCTTCAGACAAATCCGTGTTGTCGCCGGTGCCACATGGCAGCGCCGCTCCTGGTGCGCGAGAGGAGGTGCCGATTCGCGCTCTGCACCAACGCCATAGCAGTGGGAACCGAACACAGCGACAGGTCAGGTGACACCGTGACCCGCTCTCGCTGGGACCTGGCTTTCGGAGACCCTTTGCTCCCATCCGCTTCCTATGCGGATTGCCCACAGGCATTTGCACGTGTTGAGCACGGCCACGCCACTCCGTAACACGGTTGAGGGTCCAGCAAGCAACGAGCTCGCAGGCAGTGCTCGCCTATGGACAGTTAAAGTAACCTGCACCCTCGACACTGCCTCCGTTACGGAGAACTGAATCCAGGCGGATGACCTCCCACCACACGAGGAATCAGACGATGAAGCGAGTCATCCACCCCCCAGCCCCGTCCTACGCTCTGTGAACCGTGTGATGCATCCTTACGGAGCTCGGGTATCTCCCTTCGAAAACGTCGTGCTGGCTTCCCCCGCCTCCCATCCCACGCCGATCGCGTGACCGTTGATCGCCTCAGAGCACCAACAGTGCAGCGTTCGCCCTGTTTATCCACATGGACCTGCCCCCCGCGCATCGTCCTTGCTCGTGTTGCAGACGACCTGGCGAACCAACGATCGCTGTCCCCGTCGACGCCGCCGCGCCCGGCCCTCCGCCACCGTGGCAGACGCTCTGACCACCCTCCTGGTTTTTTCTTGTGCTGGCCCTGCTCCCGTGTATGTCGTATGATGCATTGTGCGGCAGCCCCGGAGGTGGCTTCAGGTGATGGTGAGCCGATCCCGCAGTCAGCAGCTGCACGTATTTCATCACCAATTATTGTCATGGTATAACATGAAAGGAATTACAAAGGCGCGGCAGTTATTTTTGATTTGCCAACCTTAAGAATGTGCTGTAACATACTTTGCTCAGGATATGAATTAGTTTCCAGCTTGGGGTACCAGGTAGATATTGACATGACTATATCATGTCCTTTGTCTATTGCCGGACGTATATTGTGTAATATGATTGGTTGCCTTCGCTGGATATGTGCCCGGCCCATTTCCACAACCTCCCCATTAGGCGCCTGCGTGCTGAGCATTCGCCCATGACCGCGGCGCAAAGACAAGGTTCGACGTTCAAAGCAGGCTTTCCGCATTCATGGGTGCTTTAGTTGACTAATAATAGGGCGTTTATGAATAATTCCTTTGCATAACCTGGCAATAAGCCACAAGGAGTTTGGTGAGGATTTACATCAAACTGTCCAAGTGTGCCTCGCATGCTAGAAAGCATCGCGTGTTATGAAGGAAAGCCGTCCGAGATGATGTAAAAAATGTCCAACTGATATGGGCTAGAATGTCACACTAATCGCAATAATGTCAAGAACTTTTCTTTTGTTACAGGCTACGTGGACGAAGACGAAAACGTTCTGGAATGGCCAGATGGAGGAGCGGTTCAAAAATATGAAGAAAAAACCACGATTTCCCCTCAAGGTATTGTTCAGATTCTGTGGACATCTTCCTTAGCTTGTGCGTGAAGGAGGCACTGAGTTATTTCTTTGTTGTGCATCAGCCGAGATATCATGTTTGGTTGAAAATAGAATCAGCAGTCTTGCATGACGACGTATACCTTTCCTTGTTTTAGGAATTGATGCAGGTAAATGATGACGGAAACTGGTGGTGGCTTTGGTTTGATGTTATCGTTAGATTGCTACGCTTAGAGTTTAAGGACATAACTCGTACTTGCTGCCTTCTGTCCGGTGAATATCCAGTGCGTTTCCTTCAATTTCAGATCCCTTTTTGCACGTTTTCAAACATTTGTGGGATATCCCAATCAACGTAGTAGACGAAAGCATGAAACCAGTTGCAAGATCTACAAATGCGTCAGTAATCGACCGACGAAATCTTCGAACAGAATCGATCTCAAATGCAAGATACTGAGAACCGTTAACCGATAGATTACTGATGCCGATAAACCGAACGATTTGACCATAACGATACACAGGCGTTAGATTATGTCAGTGTGAGTGATATCTTCCCAAAAGATTTGCGGAAACGCCCAAAAATATGATTTTTCCAAGTGGTCACGATTGTCTTAAGCGTAAATCATTGCGAATTCATCTCGATTTCACCGACTGAGATTACTACGCCTGGGTGGACTCACGGGCTTTACTCACATCCGGTCTATTTTTAAGCACCGTCATTGTGAATTCGCGTGCGGGTGATACATCGGTGGACCTCCGACGAAGAAAATACAGGGCGTTTTTTAAATCGTTTGGGGGGCCAAAAACGTTCACCCAACTTAACCCAAAACCTGATTTCTCCTGGATTTTGGTCACTGGAATTTGTGTCCTCGGTGGTAAATTACCGTTGTTATGTAAAAAAGTGTAGGCTCAAAATTGTTTTTCTGCAGTGGAATAATGTATCATTTCCAATCGCAGATCCTAATAAATTATCACCGCTGTTGCTGATCGTGTTGTACCATCACGACAGCCACGATCACGCAATAAATAAACTGTCATTGTTTTTTGTTCCAGTCAGGTATTATCATGTGAAAAAAACTTGTCAAATATTTGGAGAATGGCTTAACATATGAAGGAGTAAGCATGAGAAAAACGTTGGGTACCTAGCGAATATTATTTGGTACAAAATTAACACGATAGTAGTAACAACGTGTTTAAGTGCCTACCAGTATACTTACAGTTGGATAACTGTTCTGTATTTATTTAGCCCATGTCCCTCTTCGCTCCTTTGCATTGATGCGGCTCAGAGGAGCATTGGTGGCTCAAGCCAGCAAGTGATGCCATTGGTTGTGCCCTCGTACAGTGCCTTAGCTGCCAACACTTCGATCACACAGCGTTTCACCTCTGCCTTAAATCCTGTTTTATATGGCACTTGGTTTTCCATTTCACATGTTGTATGCGTGGTGCGGACTTAAAGGTAAGTCAGGATTAACATTCGCTGTGGATGAAGCTGAAGCAAGACCGGACCTTTATCACCACGCACTCCCGAGATGACCCATAACTTTCTCATCAGATAAAGCGTGGCATTGGTACATCGATCCGTCCGTTTCTAGGGCATGTTTCAGTCTGAGATACCTTTGGAATTGTGCCGCTTGTACACATTCTGACCTGAGGGTGCACCTTGCGTACGAAATTCGCCTGTACGAAAGTGACGAACTTGCTTTGGATAAGCCAAATATCAACATAAACACCAATCTTCTTTTCACCGAGCTTCAGGATATGCCACGGACGCGCCGCCTCGGTATCCGACTGTTGGCTGTTTTGTGCGATTTTGAAACCAACACCGTCAAATAAACTGCAATAACGATTCTCTCGCAGTGGCTTCGAGTGATCGCCGTTTCACCATGTGAGCGTTCGCTAACCATGGAGTATCCACTCGCCATGTGAGTGTCCACTAACCATGGCGTGTCCGCTCGCCATGTGAGCGTCCGCGTGCCATGAAGTGTCCGCTGGCAATGCAAGCGTCTGCTAACCATGGAGTGTCCGCTTGCCATGAGGGTGCCCGTTCGCCATGTGTGTGTCCGCCCACCGTAGAGTTACCCGCTCGCCATGTGAGCGTCCGCTTCCCATGAGGTCGTCCACTCGCCATGTCAGCGTTCGCTTGCCATGCGAGTATCATCGCCCGGGGGCCGGGTCGTCCGGAATCTGACGACTTGAGCACGTAAACACATAAGCCGGCCTGCACATTCAGCCTCCGTGACGGACTTCACGGATACGGTTGTGGGCTGTGATGGGGAGGCCCTTCCTCGTGGCGCCGGCAAGCGAGGCGAGAACTACACCAATGCACGACAGGGAAATCCTCTACCCGTTTTGTGATCTGTTGAGTAGTTCAGGTGCAAGCTTAAAATCGAATTAAGTAGAATTTCTTGACATGAAACGTTCGTACCGTGCTTCAGATCATGGTGGTGCCACACAGCCATAACGACCCGGGCTGGGGCTGGACCGTCATGGACTACTACCGGACACGCACGCGTCACGTACTCGACTCGATCGTGGCGATGATGCCCCAGCTGCCGCTGATGCGCTTCATGTGGACGGAAATCACCTTCCTCCAGCTGTGGTGGAATGAGTGAGTGAGGTCAGCCGGCGGTAAATAGCACTGAGAACACACGTTATTTCCGTTAAGTATTTGCATGAACCGAAAAAAATGCACTAATATGGATACTTTTGTCGTCAAGTGTCGGACTATGAATCAGTCCCTGATACGCAAAATTATGACTGCGCTGTCACCGTCACCGTATTCCGGAAAATTATCACAGAAAGGCCGGTGTTTTGTAATACTTTATCGAGCGTTCGAAACAGAAAAGGAGTTGGCCTTAGCTGCCAGGCAAACGGGTGCAGTGCCCCGTTGTGGGGCTCGACCGGGCCAATCCATGCAGTCTGTCTGGCGAGGACAGGTCGATCCGTGCGGTCTGTCTGGCGAGGACAGGTCGGTCGGTGCGGTCCTGTCTGGCGAGGACAGGTCGGTCGGTGCGGTCCTGTCTGGCGAGGACAGGTCGGTCGGTGCGGTCCTGTCTGGCAAGGACAGGTCGGTCAGTGCGGTCCTGTCTGGCGAGGACAGGTCGGTCGGTGCGGTCCTGTCTGGCGAGGACAGGTCGGTCGGTGCAGTGCCATCTGGCGAGGACAGGCGACAAGTGTCAGATGAAGTGGATAAACACAACTTCAGTGATGGGTTCAGAGCAGACATCACGAGATATGCTTAGCGTGTGTTCTGAAGCCGAGACTAACCCGTCAGACCGTTAGATAGCCTCGGGCTTACCACACAAGCTTTCGAAATATTAAAAGAAGAGCCAAAACGTTGCTTGAGTCAACTGCATTACGAGCCCTCGGGTAAGATATTGGTGTGTTGACTCCCCAAAGTTTTATGGTTCATTACAAGCCAATTCAATACCTAACGTGAAGAAACATTCATGTCATGTATGTGGTGATTGCATTGTTTTGCTGTATAGTCTACTGTTGGAGCGTTTTTCGATCATCAAGAGTGGCGGCTAAAGCAGACGCGAACGCCTCACTCCCGGGCCGCCGTGCGCACCGAGCCAGAGGAGACGCGAACCCTCACATTCCGCTCCCCGGCCTCCGTGCGCACCGAGCCAGAGGAGACGCGAACCCTCACATTCCGCTCCCCGGCCTCTCGTGCGCACCGAGCCAGAGGTGAGTACTGTGCCACCGAGTGACTCTTATCCGTGTGTTCAGTGCGACGCCGGAGCAGAAGCGGACTTTCCGGGGCCTGGTGGAGTCAGGCCGACTGGAGATCACCACCGGCGGCTGGGTCATGACGGACGAGGCCGTCACCAGGATGTACCCCATGCTGGACCAGCTCACAGAGGGTGGGTGCACCGACAGAGCATCTCGAATCACGGCAAACCATTGTGGGATTTTCGTGCTTTCCTGAGGCATCTACCTGCCAGGGTTTCATCCTTCCAGGGGGACGAGGACGCGGTTATCACGTGCATCAATTGCGCTGTAAAAAGAGCTGATATACTGTGTCCTGCGGCCCACAATAGGCGCGGCCTCGAAAGATAGATAACTGAAAGCAGTTGAAACGCTTTATGTATATGGACCAAAAACATAAGGTTTACCCCACAGTGTGGGCTCCAAGACGTCGTCGCTGCTTTTTTCCCAAATTTCTAGACGTTTGGACGCCTCTTCGATTTTCCGAGGAGTTTCACACATAACAACAGCGTCAACAGCCATAGCCTTGTTTGTGTTGCAGTCATGGCTGTTCATCGACTTCACCTACTGAAAGCACAAACACGTGATCGGACCGTCGGAAGAGTATGGCGCAAGGTTTTTAGATAGATTTGTGTCTTGAAGCATTTCCTTGGTAGGATTGTTCTGGGTTCAACCCCACTGTCATTGATATGTTAGGATATCGAACGCTGTTGTGTCTCTCTCAACGAAAGTTTGGTTGATTCTGAACTGCACTCCGAGTCCTCTTGGAGTCCAGCGGTAGTGTCTGCAATTAGTGCGCAGGTGCGGACTCGAGCCCGCCATCTCACGGAAGAACACAATGACTTATTGATCTCGGTACCGTACGGCGCGCCTGAGAGTGACGCACATATAGGAGGCCGCCATGTGTTATTTTGCAGGTCACGACCAGCGGCAGAAAGTGGGTTGCTGCGTAGCAGCGCATGTAGCTACAAGATATCATCACGCTTTCTCGGATATGGGAGAAACGCCTCGCTATCCTAAGCCATCGGCTGGCACGCCGTGCCGCAAACCCCCCAACTAGCAAAGTATGCATATGTGAGCATTTGTCACCGTCGTAGCTTCAGTGACATGGTGCGTCCAACATCCTCCCCCCTCAAGATATCATCTTTCATATGAGACGCGATCACCAGCAGCGCGAACAACTCCATTCCAAACGTGTCCTGATATATGGGCGGGACTGTTCGTCGGTCGGTGACCTGTGACGGTGGTGAACCCTGACGCTCCATCGCCAGGTCACCGCTGGCTGAGGCACCGCCTGAATGTGACGGTGCGCACGGGCTGGTCGGTGGACCCGTTCGGCCACGGCTCGACGATGCCGTACATCCTACGACAAGCTGACATCAAGCAGGCCGTCATAATGGTGAGGTTACTGGAGTGCAGGGACGCATCCAGGGCCTCGAGACGGGGGACCAGTCTGTCCTAGACCAAAGAGACGTGCACGTGGGCGATCTGGAGTCGGTCTGTAATCTCCCGCCTTCAACTGGTATTACTGTGCGGTCTGGAAAAGGCGGCTTTGACACCGATGGCCGGTGTTCATACGGCCACCGCCGGGGACGCCCTGCATGTGGGCCTCGTACCCCGTGTCACGTGACGCTTATGATAGCTTTTGGACGTGAACTGTTGCACTGCACCCAGCTGTTTGTGTTCTCACGTCCTGCCGCGGAGGAGGCAGTGAAAACACTTTGGGTGGTGCCTCGCCCGACGCAATAGCATCACTCTCTGCAGGACTCAATGCACTAACGTCACTCACCACAGAGCTAAGTGCACTAACGTCAGTCACTACAGGGTTCAGTGCATTAACGTCACTCACTACATGATTCGCTGCACTAACGTCAGTCACTGCAGGGCTCACTGTATTAACGCCATTCATTACATGGCTCAGTGCACTAAAACAAATGTGGGGCTTTATGCAGGCATGAACAGAGTAGTTTACGGTTTCGCCCATTTGATAAATTATTAACTACATAATTTGCAATGTTTTGCGTATTTTGTTGATTAAGGGGCGTTGCTTGGGGGCATGCGACCATGATTATTGTTGCGATGTAACGAATGTGCACAGATACCCCAGAACGGGCGGATCCATCGTCCGTACACGATGTTTGTGTGACCGTGTGCAAGGATCGACCCACACGCTCGACATCGGAATCGCCCAGTTTCTCCTGCGCCAGAATCTGCTGTCGCGTTTTGGAGATTATATTCTCATATTGCTGTGATCCTGGGTCGGAGGTCTGACCCTGTTCGGGCCCATAGCCTCGAGGTGTTTTTCGCAAATTGAAAATTTCACCAGTTCCATGTTAACTGAGTTGGGGAGGTGGAATCGTGCTGATGTTGTGGTGTCTCAGAAAATCCATCTGATCAAACAGTTAACACGCCAATGTCTGAATTGCAGTACACCTTTTATGGAATTACGCCCGTGCTGCCGAAAACTGCATGAACTTGCATTACCGACACTGTGGTGGCTAAGCTGTTCTTCCGGGAATCCAGAGATACGGGGCTCGATAGCCCGCATTGGTCGCTCTTCCTGCCAGGGTGGGAAGCAGACGACGCCATATAGCGTCAGCAGCTGAATGTTTCGTAAAGCGCCAGTGACGTTTTAATGACCACTGAGGTTTGTGGTTGCAGTGTCATTAGTCTCTGAGGAGCGCGACAGCTGAGCAGCTCAAGTTAAGGGTCGTCTCAAAGTTCACTGGGGCTTGTGGCTGCAGTGTCATTAGTCTCTGAGGAGCGCGACAGCTGAGCAGCTCAAGTTGAAAGTCGTCTCAAAGTTCACTGGGGTTTGTGTCTGCAGTGTCATTAGTCTCTGAGGAGCGCGACAGTTGAGGAGCTCAAGTTGAAAGTCGTCTCAAAGTTCACTGGGGTTTGTGGTCGCAGTGTCATTAGTCTCTGAGGAGCGCGACAGCTGAGCAGCTCAAGCTAAAAGTCGTCTCTAAGTTCAAGGCCCGCCCGACCTTGGACCTCGTTTGTAATCACTGAGCACACACTGGGAAGTGCACTTTGCTCTCCCTTAGCACAGAAGAAGGGAATCCTTCGTTTTGATTCGTTAGAAAGCCCAGTGAGGGCTGTCAACATCACTGGATGGATGCTGATGGCACGGTGCGGTGATCAGTAGCTGTCAACTTGAACGGAAGCAGGTGCTCACCGATCCGCCGGGAAGCTAATCACAGGACGGAAGCCCGCAACAGGCTATTGCTAAAGTGTCAGTCCGCGGGAATGAGGACCATCGAACGTTGTGCTTCGGAAAACATCATGAAATTTACATAATTATTTCGGCACTAGCCTGTGATCCGTTCACTACAAATCCTTTAAATAATTCATTTTTGGGAAATAAGGTAACCTTATAAGTCATAAGCTCTTCTACAACACTTCCATCTCCCACTGGATGAAACATATATCTTTAAAACTGTTTTACTTGGGGAATCTGAATGATCAAGGAAGATTTTATGAAAACTCCCCTCATCACGTGAATGGGATAGGTTAGGGTAGACCCTTACCGGTTCATTCAAATTTCGATGCAAAACTTGGTGCTCCTCTGGAAACGACAAGCACATGCCGTTTTATGTGCTGCTAACCAGTGTGATGTTTATCGGTGTAGTTCCGGATCACTGTCTGTTTGACCGGCTTCAGTGAAAGACGTGTTCCTCTAGCAATTATCATTGAAAAACACTACGAGCATTTCATTTGCCAAGTGTCATATCATCCCTCCTCCCACGATCTCGTTTTTTTATCGAGACTTAACATCAGTGGCCGCGGCAGTGATTGTCGATAATTGTTTTAACGATTTATGAAGCGCCTTGACTCCCTTTGCCGATCGCGTTCGTTCCCGGCGCCGTTCCCCGTGCGGTTTTCGGCGTTGCTCTCACACGCCACAGCTGTACGTACAGGAGCTACAGTTGTGTGCTGCGATCAATATCCTGGCCGGATGAGTCGTGCCGTCGGACCGCTGAGGGGGCCGGACGGTTGCTGCCCCACACCAACCACTCAGTGCAGCTCGCGGCACATCACACCGCGGAGCTTACGGCACATCACACCGCGGAGCTTGCAGCGCATCACACCGCAGAGCTTGCGGCGCCCCATACTGCGGAGCTTACGGCACATCACACCGCAGAGCTTACGGCACATCACACCGCGGAGCTTACGGTGCATCACACCGCGGAGCTTACGGCACATCACACCGCAGAGCTTACGGCACATCACACCGCAGAGCTTACGGCACATCACACCGCGGAGCTTACGGTACATCACACCGCGGAGATTACGGCACATCACACCGCAGAGCTTACGGTACATCACACCGCGGAGCTTACGGTACATCACACCGCGAAGCTTACGGTACATCACACCGCGGAGCTTACGGCACATCACACCGCAGAGCTTACGGTACATCACACCGCGGAGCTTACGGTACATCACACCGCGGAGCTTACGGCACATCACACCGCAGAGCTTACGGTACATCACACCGCGGAGCTTACGGCACATCACACCGCAGAGCTTACGGTACATCACACCGCGGAGCTTACGGTACATCACACCGCGGAGATTACGGCACATCACACCGCAGAGCTTACGGTACATCACACCGCGGAGCTTACGGTACATCACACCGCGGAGCTTACGGCACATCACACCGCGGAACTCACGGCACATCACACCGCAGAGCTTACGGCACATCACACCGCGGAGCTTACGGTACATCACACCGCGGAGATTACGGCACATCACACCGCAGAGCTTACGGCACATCACACCGCGGAACTTACGGCACATCACACCGCAGAGCTTACGGCACATCACACCGCGGAGCTTACGGTACATCACACCGCGGAGATTACGGCACATCACACCGCAGAGCTTACGGCACATCACACCGCGGAACTTAGGGTACATCACACCGCAGAGCTTACGGCACATCACACCGCAGAGCTTACGGTGCATCACACCGCGGAGCTTACGGCACATCACACCGCAGAGCTTACGGCACATCACACCGCAGAGCTTACGGCACATCACACCGCGGAGCTTACGGCACATCACACCGCAGAGCTTACGGCACATCACACCGCAGAGCTTACGGTACATCACACCGCGGAGCTTACGGTACATCACACCGCGGAACTACGGCACATCATCACCACGCAGAGCTTACTCCACATCACACCGCGAGCTTACGGTACATCACACCGCAGAGCTTACTGTAATCACACCGGAGCTACTCGTACATCACACCGCAGAGCTTACGGTACATCACACCGCAGAGCTACGGCTACAATCACACCGCGGAGCTTACGGTCATTCACACCGCGAGCTACGTACATCACCGCAGAGCTTACGGCACATCACACCGCGGAGCTTACGGTACATCACACCGCGGAGCTTACGGCACATCACACCGCGGAGCTTACGACACCCCACACTGCGGAGCTTACGGCACATCACGTCGGGGAGCCTACAGCGCATCCGCCGCCAGCAGCGCGGCAGTGTACAGGATTGGGGGTGGGGACCCCAGAGGCACTTTGTGTCGTTTCTTCTCATGCACCGCCGTAAGCCCCTGCCAAATGCTCACAGGTCTTAGGGAAGTCGTTCGGGCCCTGAAACCCCCAGTGACGCAATAGTTCCCGCGTTTGCGCCCGTCGGTCAGCCCGTGTCGTACCCAAGGTGCACTGTGTTTCCGCCAGGGGGGGGGGGGGGGGGGGAGGGTCGGAGAAACTGACGCAAGATCGTTGGTATTTCAAAGACCGTCTTTTTCGAACAAGAGCGACAGAATCTGTGAGGTGCTGTGTGCTCATCATCATTGGCAGGGCGTACGCAGAAACTCTACTAGAGAAGAAACAACTTTGGATTGAATGCTTCACTCTCGTGGACACTCGGCAATAAATAATATATGCCTAAATTATATGCTGATAATGTTTAGCCATCCGTTTTTATCAATGCAATGAAAGGCAAAACGAACATGAATAGAAGATTATATGTGGGCTGAATTTTCTCTTAGTCCCCCCCCCCCTTCCGGGTGGAAGGGCAAATAAATCAACAAACACGGTTAGCAGGGACTGATCCCTACACCAAGAAGGCGGCTGCCTATTCAGTATTCATCCGAATAGATATGATATGTAGTACATTTGGTGAGGTAACGACCCCCAGGTGGCGTTAATAGTTTTTAGTTAATAGTAATAGTTAATAGCTCTTGTTAACCGCACTCCCTATCCGTAGAACTGGTAAACCAGTGGGGACAGCAGCTAAGCTGATGCACATTAAACGGGCGTGGTGGCGGTGCCCTTTCAAGTTTGCATTTTAGAAGCAGATCCGCCAGATTTGCCGACAACGCGCTCGGCTGCCCATCAGGGCTTGCCCGGGGATCAGTAACTGTGGCATCACTGCGTGGAAGACGCCCCAAAGAAAGGCTCGGTCGGTGCGCGGAACGTCTAATCGGGATGCATCTGGCGGAAAGGCGGTGCTTTTTGTTCCATCCTATGCATTCACAAATGCAGTTACAATATTCATCGTTTTTGCGTTAAAATGGGGAAAATGCAACATCATAACAAAATATTGTGGGTCCAGATAAGCACCGTGCGCGGCACTGGTGTCTGCATTGACTTCTAACAGTCGACTTCGGAGCCGTGCTTCGCTCGTCTGTGGTGGGATCTCACGATTCGATACTGGTCACCAACCGGTGAGTGTTTCATGATCACAGAGTAATTTTGTAGCGTCAAAATTGCGTCTGACTGGGAAGCATAGCTTCGTCCGAAGCAGCCGACAAATGTGTCGACTTCCCGACCCCGCCCCGCCCCGCCCCTGCCCCGATGAATCCCGATGTCAGCAAGTATCGGCATTTTTCAGCGAACGCCGTACGTCTGGAAGGAGTATTTGGCAGCGCACCAGAGCGGTGACTTCATATGGCAGCAGCAATGGGACCAGGACGGCTCCACCTCACTTCTCACTCACCATCATCCCTACTTCATGTAAGTCTTTTTAAATGGAACTGTTCAGGGTGATCAGAAGTATCGTAGTTCATCGCTTACCAGTGCCACATTAATCCATTATTTCTATTTGTGGCACATGCGATTGCTTTCAACGCTCTCTTTCATGAAAGAGCAGTTTTATAATCAAAGGCGTACTTTGTTTTTTATGTACAGAATGAACTACATTCGCAAACTCTCGAATCTCGTGCGCCAAAATGCGCATACATCAGAATTAACATTAAATGTCGAGTGTCACCTTTGAAGACTAGCGCAGAAATGCTCTGAAGACTGTAATGACAGCAAGGGTTTGGTTGACAGCCGGCGAAGTTCGTCGTGTGTAATGAACTTGTGCAGGCATCGAATGTGTTGAACGCACTCTCTGACCCCAGGTGGCCAAAAACTGCAACAAATCTTGCTGAAGATTACACGTACAATGTTGACTCATTACATAATGTTGACGAGGTTCAAGATCGATGTAATGATTTGGGGACAAGACAAGAACCTTTAGGTACTCTAAAAGTACCTCGAAGTACTTCCGAATGAAAAATGGCAAACATGAATAATCGGGTGCGAATGCATGCAAATGACTCGCGGTGTGAACCGGTCACTGCGAGCCTAGCTGCAGACGAATAGTGTTGAATGTCGCCTGCAGGGCAGCACCGTCCCTTTAAACTGGCGGCCTGGATCCGTTGCCATGCACGTGCATATCTCATCCGGCGTGCCAATATCGTCGGCTGCATACCCGTGCCGAGAGCCAATCAGACAGCGGGCCGCTCCGGAGGCGGGATGGCCCGGCTAATTGCGTCCGTCCTGAGAGGCTGAACGTTATCTCTGGGCAGCGAGCGGCGGGCGGCAGCCGGCCGGATGGCGCTTCAACAGGGAAACGGCCAATATTCGGCTTGGCGGCGGCCGGCTCGAATTCCTGGCGTTTTAAATAGAGTGATGGGTGACGCCTGAAAATCAATATGCATGGCACGCGGTTGTGAGGCAAGAAGGAATGAAAATGAGGTCCTAGCTCGCTGCTCTCAAGTGGTGTGGCCATCTTTCTGCATCGGTCAGGCTAGTCCTGAGCAAAATGCACCGCTGTGCCTGCCAGCCTACCTACTTTGTTTGAACAAATTTGCGTGGGCCTAAGATGGCGTGGTCCTAAACGATATGTCATGCAACGTAATTTGCGCGATTAGTTGTATACGCGCTCCATGTTTCATTCCTGTCATGTTTGTGATAGTCTCCGTTTCAGTAAAGGTTTGAACGGGTGGCCCAACTGACAGCTCGCAGGTCAGCGTTGAGACCCGACCTGGCCGGCTGGCTGGCTCTGTCCAGCGACTGATCTGGTGCACTCCACACTCTCCAGATTGTCGCTTTTGTGTCGCTCATATACTGTACGGTTGTTAGGATATTCTGGCAGTTGCATTGTAAACTGAATAGAAACATTTGACATATTTTCCTTCCCAAAAAATTATGTGTCGGTTGATACAGATTTGCATCGTTAGGGTGTGGTCTGCACCACTTTCAGATGGGCTATGGCAGTGGTAGCGCTGCAGGAATTTTACACGCTCGAGGATCAGCTATAAAACAGATTTCTGACGACTATGTGTGGCCGTTTCACCCAAAATATAACATTGGTGATGACAGTGCTTTGTAAAAAGGGTATTAATTTACCTATTTTTCGCACATGGCTGCGTCTTTGCTGATTCCTTGCTTTCAAGACGATGTAGATGTCTGCCCGCTTCCAAAGATGCCGATGTCCTCAGTAATGTGTCAATTCGTTGCCGAGGTTGTCAACAGGCTGCATCCCGAGGTTTCCGTAGTGGCACGATAAATTAAGTGAGCAAACTTCACAGAAGAGAGTAATTTTGCTTCCTTAAAGAAGTGATTTATTGCCAGCATATGTTGTTACTTGAGTTATGCATTTCATGCCGCACAACATCATTCGGTATATATGTAGGCCCGTAAGCATCAATAAACCCACAATGTTAATCACAATCGTACATGTCTTGGGAAAAAACACTTTTGCACATTCATGGCAGCGCGGTCCGGCCCATAAATAATCACGTCTGTCCATAGAATGTCAAGTTGGATGCGAAATGGGATAAATATTGTCCCGACCCCAAGTAAAAATTCCTTGTCATGCTCCGACGGTAGATGATTGCCTGTGCGAGGCTGAATGCTTCATGCAAGGTCAACTGTGTTGACTTGGTAAGCCCTCTTATACCACCCCAGGCAAGCAACGTATCATGACTATTTTCCGTGTTCTCCCATGTCTGCAATACACCGTCTGTTTTCTAGTAGACCCGATGAGAGGGCTGCGCGTCTGCTGGTCGAGCATGCCGACACACTCAGCACGCTCACAACTGAAAGTGCTTCTCATTTGCCCAACGCTGTTAATAGCCGATAAAATGCACTATTGCACGCTTGTGACAACTGAGTGCATAAGTGGAAGGTTATTCGTATTTCGGCCGGAGCTCCTAAGCATCGCTTGGCCGAGGCGCATCGCAGAGCACAGCCGCGTATCGTTTTCATTTGGTGTGAGCAGCCGGATAAGCAAGTTCTTCAGCCGCGCCCGAGTGCAAACTGTTGGTCAAGTACGTCCAGTGCAGCCGTATCCAAACCGCCAGAACCCGGCTGTACTGATAGGAAATGTTTATAACGGCAATACCTCCGACATTGTGGCACCACCGGTCTATCTGAACATAAGTGGTGTTATTTCCTGTACAGTTGTTTGGTATCCAGTGGACACTTGAGCTTCGCTGGTGACAGAATGGTGCTCTAACGTGCCTTCGAACTTTGGGACACCTTCCGACGATTTTTTTTCCTGCAGGAGAATCAACTAACAACTTCTCGTACAAATGACGTCATATTGCAGTGCGGGGGACACTTTTCGCCACCTAGAAGTAAAAATGCTTCGTAGTCTCTGCTTCAGATCTAAACAACGATTTTTCAGTCTGCCGGGCTTCTCGCTGAAATCGGTAATAATGAGTTTGACGAAACGGGCGCAGCAGCATGCTCTGCACAAGCCCCGCGGCCTACCGCCCGTTTCCAGACTGCAACAGGCAGCGGTGCGCTGACCGGCTACGTCGCCGGCTCTGGCTCTGATGCTGTCCGGCGAGCGCGGCTCTGGCTTTGGCCCTTCCGACGGACGATGGGGCGTGACGGGCTGCCGAAACCCGGGAACGGCCTGGCTGGGCTTGCAGGCTGGTCCGGTGTAATGGGCGGCGGGGCGGTTTTTCTGGTCGACGCTGGGAGGCGGTAAGCGGGGCGCTGCATCAGAGCTCGTGAGAATATCGGTCACCGAAGCGGTACGTCCATCCGGCTTCGGCAGAGCCTGCTGTCGTGACCAGTTCGCCGTAATGATGGGTTGCATCCTTGGCGGGCCGTCAGACATGCGTTTTTGTTAAGACGTGACAGATGTCAAAATCAATTCCCGCACTAAAATGAGAAATCTCGGGCCTCGGGAGTGGCATGTTGTCATGTGATCCCACCAGGCGTCACGCATTGCATCAGAGAGATGCGACTTGAAATCGGAGCACTATCAGCGAGCGTATACTTGAAATCGGAGCACTATCAGCGAGCATATACTTGAAATCGGAGCACTATCAGCGAGCGTATACCTGAAATCGGAGCACTATCAGCGAGCATATACTTGAAATCGGAGCACTGTCAGCGAGCATATACTTGAAATCGGAGCACTATCAGCGAGCATATACTTGAAATCGGAGCACTATCAGCGAGCGTATGCTTGAAATCGGAGCACTATCAGCGAGCATATACTTGAAATCGGAGCACTATCAGCGAGCATATACTTGAAATCGGAGCACTATCAGCGAGCGTATACTTGAAATCGGAGCACTATCAGCGAGCGTATGCTTGAAATCGGAGCACTATCAGCAAGCATATACTTGAAATCGGAGCACTATCAGCGAGCATATTCTTGAAATCGGAGCACTATCAGCGAGCATATACTTGAAATCGGAGCACTATCAGCGAGCATATACTTGAAATCGGAGCACTATCAGCGAGCATATACTTGAAATCGGAGCACTATCAGCGAGCATATACTTGAAATCGGAGCACTATCAGCGAGCATATACTTGAAATCGGAGCACTATCAGCGAGCGTGTACGCCGCGTCCACCACGGCACTCTCACAGCGCAGCCACCGCCATTTACAAGGGAGCAATGCTGTCAGTAATACAACTGGACGAGTGATTCTCCGCCCGGACCGGGCTCTTTAGAACTTGAGTGACCTGGGTCAAGCCGACGCCGCTCGAAAGGGAATGCAAAAGTGACATTAAACGCAGATGGCAGCACACATGAACGTTAGTTTTCACGCGTTTCCAATAAGTTTTTCATGAGTTTTTTTTTTTGGCGTGCCTTGCACTAAGAAAGCACATCACTGAGGATATTATGGGGCTGTTACTGCCACAAGTATTTCTCCAGTGTGCGTCCGACCATTCAACGCCATCTATTGTGCTTCAGGTACACAACCAGCGCCGCCTGCGGACCATTTGGCGAATCATCGAAAATGTGTTTCAACTTCGACTTTGCGCGCGACTGGTCCAACCCTGTCCCTTGGTACAACCAATTCACCCATGTGACGGAGGCAAATATTAAGGTACGGCGACGTTTTCCGTGAGTGGTGTTTGCTATCGTTTTGTATTTTGATGTTGCTGGAACGGTTCGGCTTTGGTGTTTGCTCAGTTTTTTGCTCAGCAGTAGACTTTCAAAACTTCTTTCTGAGCATAGCCTATGCTGGTGCCAGTTGGCACTGTGGCCTCAGTTTTCTGCCGGATGTCAGTTTACGTGATCAGCGGACGGTTAAAGCTGAGAACGTTGTGAGTTACGCTCACAACAGCGTAACAATCACAGCGCGGAGCGTTGTGTCGCATCGTGTCGCTTTATGTCAAAAGGCATGAACAGGCATTTCAGTAAGTAAGCATGCGTGTCTGTGTTGCACTGAACCCATGCCATGCTAGAGCTATCGTCTATTTGTAAAGGATTTTACACCTCCTGCGTATGCCCTGTGTGCTTTTGTGGATAATTCAGTTTGTTGGTATTCTCCGGCCTGACTGCTCTTTGTCGTCGTGCTCAACAAGTGTGCCTACTCATCGCAGGTAGCTCGATGTGGAAACCTTAGGGGGTTCATTGCTGCAGCACGGACGAACATTCCTCCACCCGCCGCCTTAGTTTTACACCAGCAGAGATAATTTTACGCTCCCGGTACTTCATCTGTTCCGTGCGATATTTTACGGTATGCTTACGGTCTTCGTTAGAAAAAGACCGCTGCTGATTGAATTGTTGACTCACTGCTTCTCACACAGGAGCGCGCGGAGCTTCTGGTGGACTCCGCGGGAAGGACAGCTTCGCTCTTCCCCCACAACGTGGCGCTGATGATGCTGGGCGCCGACTTCCAGTTCAAGCACGACTTCGAGTGGCGGGAGCAGTACTCCAACTACACAAAGCTCATGGAATACATAAATGGCCACCCTGAACTGAACGCGCACGTGCAGTTCGCCACGCCGGCCGAATATTTCCGAGTGGTGCGTCAGCGAACGCGTCGGCGGGGGCGGCTGCCGACGCTGGTCGGCGACTTCCATGTGTATTCTGACGTATTCCAGGCCAAGCCCAAGTACTGGTCGGGCTACTACACGACGCTGCCCCACTGGAAGCGCGCGGCGCGCCAGTTGGAGGCGCAGCTGCGCGCCACCGATATCCTGTACGCCTGGACATGGAACCAGCAGATCACGCCCAAGTCTGTGGAGACGGTGAAGAACCCGTTTTACCACAGCTACAACAGACTAGTGATGAGCCGTCAGGACGTAGCGCTTTTCAACCACCACGACGCCATCACCGGTACGTCGTCGACGGACGTGATGAAGGATTTCATCGAGCGGCTGGCCATCAGCGAGATGGACCTGTCGCGCGCCACTATCATGTGCTTCGCTTCACTGCTGCTGGAGCTGGGACTGCAGGACAAGGTGGTCGAGCTGTTCGCGCAGTACTCGCCACTGCAGCGCGGCCTAGGCATGCCGCCCCAACTGGTAAAGTTCTCTGTGGAGCCGGGCTCGCGCCGTCGCCTCTTCCTCTATAACCCGTTGGCGCAGGAGAGGACTGAGCACGTGCAGTTCCTGGTGACCGAGCCCAACATAGCTGTCGAGGACGCCAGCGGACAGCGCGTGCTCGTGCAGTTGGAGCCGCAGGGAGAGGCGTTCCTAGCCCACTTCCTGGTGCACCTCCTTCCGCTGTCCATCCATGTGTTCAGCGTAATCGGCGTGCGGTCGGAGGGCGAGGTGGCGCCGCCAGCCGCCATCGCGCGCACCGGCGCCGACCTGGGGGACGCCTTCACCATCAGCAACGCTCGCTTCCAGCTGTCCTTCAACGAGACCGGCTTTCTGTGGAGCGTGCGCGACCGGCGCGTGAATCGTGAGCTGCCGCTGGCGATCAGCTTCGGTGCGTTCGCGACCGTCGAGCGCGAGAGTGGCCTGTACCTGTTCGCGGCCAAGGACCAGCCGCCGAGACGGCTGCCGTGCGCCGGCCGCCGCTGGGCCGTGCGCGAGGACGCCGTGTCCTCCGAGGCGAGCGTGGACTGCGGCCGCGTGCGGCTGACCGTGCGTCTGCTCCACACGGACGCCCCACCCGGCCAGGCGGTGCACCTCGAGACCGAGACGCGCCTCTCACGCGACGACGACGAGACGGACGTCTTCATGCACCTGCGCACAGGCGTGGCGTCGTGCGCGGCGCGCGGCTGCGGCTTCTTCGCCGACGCCAACGACTACCAAATGGTGTGGCGGCCTTACGTGCCGGCGGCCGGAGTGGCCGGCAACGTGTACCCGGTGACGACACAGGCCAGCCTGCAGGACCACCGGCTGCGGCTCAGTCTCCTGATGGACCACTCGCGCGGCGTCGCCAGCCTCAAGGAGGGTACGCTGACAGCCATGCTGGACCGGCGCTCGCGCTTCGATGACGACCGTGGCATCGGCCAGGGCAACCAGGCCAACCGGCCGGTGCGGGCCTCCTTTTTGGTGACGTTCGAACACCTGCCCGAGCCGCCGGCTAGTGACGAGCTGTTCGCGAACGGGCCCCTGACTGCGGCACTCTCCCGCCAGCTCAACCATCCGCCGCAGGTGCTGATGGGTCGCGAGCCGCAGGCGCCGCGGGTTCGCCGTGCGCTGCAGCTGCTGGACGGCGCGCTGCCCTGCGACTGGGAGCTGGTCACGCTACGCCAGCTGCCCGAACGGCACCGTTACGAGTACCCGGGCCGGCGGCTGCAGCTGACGCTGCTACGGCGCCGCCTCGACTGCCGGCTGTGGCACGCCGAGGACGGCCTGCGCTGCCGGCCGGCCGCCACCCCCGGCGTCGAGTTCTCGCCGTTCATTTCGTTAGAGAGTGTCGAGCCCGTGGGTCTGACGGGCGGCGAGCGCCCGGCGCCGGCCGAGCCACTGCGCGGGCTGCGCGACCTGCGACTCGAGCCCGACGAGCTGCGCACGTTCGAACTCAGCTACAGACGGCCCGGCCTCGATAGCGTCGAGGAGATGGACGAAGAGGAGGTGCACTTCGTCAAGGAACTCAACGGAGTTGGGTCGAAAGAGGCGGTCAGATAGGATGCGTCGCGCGCAGTGGGATGCTGGTGACACGACGTGAGCGCGTGTGGCGGTGGAGCGCGGTCTCGGCCAGTGACGAATGGGGATGGGCAGGCACCGGCAGGAAGCGGGGTTCTATCAAGTAGACGGAATAGTGGTGGGCCGACGGTGGGGCGTGACTGGTTCGTAGCCAGCAGGTGGCCGACGATTGACAAGTCACAGGTAGAAGCTCGGGTCCGACGAACGGACGGGGAAGTGCTGGATATAGCTTGGCGAGGAGCTCGTGATATGCATCCGTGGGCCACGCACATGCCAGTGGGTCCAAGTCCCGGGGTCAGTGCGGATGGCTGAGCTCATGGTAAATTATGTTACTTCGTTGCACTTGGGAGCGGAATGGCTGCTATTTTTCCTTCTCTACATGTCATGATGAGCTTCGTTCATGTGGATGCCGTGTCGAGCTTCGTTCACGCAGATGTGAGTGTATAGTCCAGAGATCGAGCTGGCGCAGTGGACCCCAGGCTCACCAGGTCCATTCCAATGTATGTTTGTAGGTTGGCATATACTACACATGGCAAGTATTTTGCTGAATCTAGTCACACAGTGCAGTGCGCTAGTTGCTGTGGTTTTTACGATTTTATGACATTTTCTCTGATGGTGCCGACCTCCTTCAAGAGAAAGATGTTGTGTGAATTGTGCGGCTTTATATTACACTGACGTGTAAAAATCACTGCCTGCACAACCTTCACCTGTCTACGTTGTCTATGCGCGTGATCTCTATGATGCAGTAGCGGTTTTATAAAGTGTAGGTACCTGACTTGGGACAAGATGTCTTTTGCACCCTTTCGACACGTCCGTATAGTTCTATCAGCGGCGTGGTTCCCTATTCTTTGCGGGGAGGGCTCCCAACCTTGAGAAGTAAGTCCAACAAATTTGGGGAGAAATCCGTTTCAGGTTTTTTGAGGGGTACGTTTCCGTCATTTTTCATTGCTCAGCCCAAACTTGTGTTGTGAAACTACGCCTATGAGTTTTGCACCAAAAGGTTCGTAAATGCAAGGCGCATTTGTTGGCAAGAATGTGCGTTGCTTCCGACCTAATCAAAGAGTTCGTGATCGGCGAGCTGGCGCGGTAACCGACGTCTTCCATCTGGCTGCTGTGCAATACAATGTGCGTTGTGAACTGTGCTCCTTGGAAGGTGTTTGACCGGAACGATCCCCTCCGCCGAAACAAAATCACGGCCTCATACTGATTTCCCTCAGTGGCCACTAATCCCTTGCCCAGGTCCGCAGATTTTGAAGTCGGCGGGGGGAGGGGGGGGGGGGGGGGCAGGATCACCGTCTCACCAACATTTTATCGAAGTCTTGCACAAGCTTAAAAGGAATGTTTCACGTTCTAAGATATTGAAGCAACCATCACATATCATGAAATGAGCTTCCTTATCACTGTTGGTGTGCTTTTAAGTGGAAAAGACTGCTCTAGACAGCACAGCTCTTGGTTTAGTAAATATGCTCTTCAATACGTTATTTTTTATCACGTCATTGTACCTTGCACAACATTGTTTAAAAGTCAGTTGACGGCCGTTTTGTCTAGAAATTAGGCCCGCGAACGTCAGAAATAAGCGATTCGACAATTTTGTTTTGCCTTGAGCGCCGCATGGCTTATGAGATCGCAGGATTCGAATAACGTTATTATGGCGTCAAGGATGCTTGGGTGACCTTAAAATAGCCTCCCCGAAAAAAGTCTGCACGTCTTCGCGGGTGTGTAGCTCAAAAACTAAATGAGTTCAGGTATTTGGAAGGGCGGGCTATGAACTGCACCGAATGATCGTCAAGATGGCTGTTTCAGTTCAGAACCCATGCAGATGTGGAACACTCCCTTTGGCCGTGATGTATGGGAATGATTGAGTTCGAAACAGATCTTGACACCCCAGGCAGCAATTCTTTTGCCGTTCCTACGCCTCTGATAGTTCGCGTCCGGTCAGCTAATACCGCGATTTCGGCTGGACCAAGTAGGCTCTTAAGTGATCATACTTTGGATGCATTAAACGCTTCCATCCCCATCATTTATTGACTTTATCGACAACCTTCCCACCAGCTTTCACCAGCACCAGTCTGAATGCTTGCTAAAAGACATTTCCTTGTTGGGGCTTAACTAGACAGGCACAGCGGAATGTTAAGAGCATATGTTTATGTCATGTCATTAAAGTTTAAATGGATTTTTTGGGGTCAACGAATCCGGATTTGTGCAAGGTGGTGGGCTTTTCGCCTATTTGGGCAGGGGCGGCTCCAGGTAGAGTAGATTTGAGGGGTTTTGTGGGTTTTCTTACAACTTGCGTTTGTGTTGCACTGGTGTTTCTGGTGACATACAAATATGATCTGTTGTAATGTCTCCTACATTTTAAGTATAATTTATTTCGGAGTCGTTCCCAATAAAAGAAATAAAGGTAGCTTTCTTGAGAAAAGCTGTAAAACTTCCTGTTCCTAGTTCATTGGAGGAAATCAGACGGAAGACGCATGTCCTCTGGCATGATGTGGCGTCTAAGTGACATCCGGAGTCCGGGTATCATAATTCATAAGAGTAATTCGCAGACTACGGTCGCGCAGGGAGAAAACGCTCCAGGGACGAGTAAACGTGCAACGCTATGACCGGTGTATGATCGGTCCACCAGACGTGCTGAAGTTGGAAACTCTGTGTGGGAAACTCCGTTCTAACGTCGGTATAAATGTAGGATGTTTTCTTATTCGGCTTATATTATATCGATCATATATATTCCATATCGATCTATATTATATTAGACCCACGATAGTGTTATGCGGGGTGCCACTTCGTGCCATGACGGCAGGTTTGTGGCCAACGGCATTGGTGCGCCTCTAAATTTTCACGTTCGTTGTTCACGTTCGTCGTCACGAAACGCTCGTTGTGCATGCACCACTGTTACTTTCAGCAGAGAGTTAGCATCTTCTCCTGGTTGTTCCTGAACTTTCCGTACCTGGGGAGGGCCTTGCCTTCCTCCTTTCCCATGCCACCAGGCTCTTGCTAAATTCTTTGGAACACCTGTCCCTCCTTTATCTTTTGAGCACCACATCATATATCCTGAATTCTCTGAAGGCTTCAGGGTGCAAGTCATGATGGCTAATAAAAAGACAAGGAAAAAATGTCCCGAACATCTTTAAGGCTGCAGGGTAAGAGTCATGATGTCTAGCAGAACGATCATGGAAAAGTGTGCTGAAAGCGCTAGAGACTTCAGGCTGCAAGTCATGATCCCAACAGGAAGAGAAGTCAGAGGTGTCCTGACGGGTTTAGCGGGACCCTGATGGCATACCTGGGAGGGAATGAGGAGAAGGCCATCCTCGAGAAGGGAGAGTTTCTGAGCAGTCTGGAGAAAATAATAATTGCCTGTCACGGGCAATACTGAGGAATGTACAGTGAACGTGTCTGATGTAGAGCCGCGCCGATACTATTTGGCGCAAGCTCTGCTGTCATCGCACTCGGTGCAACACAGCAAAGTGTGTGCTCTGGGATAAATCACTTTCATTTATATAACTAAATGTTTGTACGCCTATGGGGTCGCTAGACATCGGTTACGCAGCGCACATCTCCTGAGGAGGTTTTCGATGCGCGCCAGCCTGAGGCTCACTTGAGCATATGAGAGCCCCCTTTCGACCCTGGAGCCACCCGTGCTAGAATGGTACGTAGCGTTATTTGCGGCGGGCTTCTCGGTTACGCTTATCGGTGCGGGGACGCATATCACGGGTTTTCAACAGGGGCAACAGCTGCGTGAAAACCCAACACTTTGAAGGTAGTTTTGATCACGCATAGTTGTCACATAAATCTGATAATTAAACCCTAGCTATAAACTCAATAAAGCCCAAGTCGTCATCGTCGGCCCACGTTGACTGCGTCGAAGTCGAATCTGGGTTTATAATTGGATTAAAACAGGTGATGCAGACCGGCAGGTAATGATTTGGTATCAATCGTATTATGGCTCAATTTTACGCTTAAAGGAAATGTTCCACATTTGTGTGGATTTTGAACCGAAGCCCACATTTTGAGGATCATTCGGTGCAGTTTACAGCCCTGCTCTTCTTAAGACCTAACATCCTCTAGTTTCTGAGCTATATGCCTGCGAAGGTGTGCAGGGTTTTCGCGTAGATTATGTTAAGTTCATTCAGGCATGCATGACGCCATAGAAGCGTCATTTAAATCATGTCACCCCATTGGCCATGTGACGTTCAAGACCAGGAAAGTCGTCAAGTTCTTTATATCTAGCGCTCATGAGCATGACATCCAGGTATAACGGACGCCAATTAGCTCTCAACAAATGCCGTGTAGGCTGTGTGCGTTTTAACAACGAATCACGTCCGTGTCACATAGTGCGAGAATTTTTGTTGAGAATAACGCCGTGATCGAGAACATGGATGCAAATGCATGACAAGTGAGGGCCAAAAAAACTCAACAGCTTTTACTCAGTTATAAATATGCAAGAACGCCATCAGTAAGGGCCGAAATCCGAGCAAATGGCGACATTTGGTTTAGCACACCTCCAGCCCAGTCAAGGCCACCTGTCGGGAGATCGGAATACTTCAAGTGGTAACCTTGGTGGCAATTTCGCACGGCTAGTTTGGCAACAACTCAATGTCATACAAACGTTCCATGACGCAATTCAACAATGGCGTATTAGGAACATATTTTCTAATGCAAAGAAATGTTGTTTACAGAGGTATTTCCCATTTAGAAGGATACCAATAGTTATAAGTGAGCTTGTTTCATGAGATCTAATGCTTGCTTCAACATCTTCAAAAGCGAAATATTGCCTCTAAACACGCGGTTACCCCTGCCAATGATATAATGTAATCTACCTTAGCATGTGCGTTAAATGTTTATGCGTTGAAATGCTGTTAATAGGTTGTAGGTAGGGGCTCTTAAGGGAATACCGGCTGTGATGGCTTACACGTGACACAGGCTATTTTTACCCCAACCTGCACCGTCATACGATGTGTTCGCTGAGATCGGAATCAGAATTC